TTATAGTTTTTTTTTTTTTTTTTGCTTGACTATTGTAATTGCACACAGCAGGATTTTCAGGATGGTGAATGCTTCCATTGTTAATTTTACATTACTTGTTTTAACAAGGGATATGCTGTTAAAGTTTTATCCTATTTATTTTTTTATTTTTTAATTTCCTAAGTACAGTATGTGCATTTTTGTGTGTACCAGTATATATGCAACTATTGATCATATTTTTCTTCAGGAATATAAATGTTAGCTAAAAGTAATGTAAGTTAAATTTGGCTTAAAATATCTGCATGTCATATAGAAGAAATGTACCAAACATCTCCTATTTGGTCAATTCCTGTTGATCGAAATGACCCTCCTGTTCGAGTAAAGGCAACAACTAAGTTTCACCTGTGGAACATATCAACAAAAGGCTAACTGCTTTGTGTGTGCGCGCGCATGTGTGCGGTTCAGTTTTGTAGTCACTACCTGTATCTTTGCAGGTAAACTTGGCTTTGGGGTCACACATCCTTTTTGTACCCTCGCAATCTTTCTCATCACTTCCATCCTCGCAATCCTTGTCTCCATCGCATCTCCAGCGTTCTGGGATGCACGTTCCATCAACGAGACAGTGGAATTCATCCTCACTGCACTCAATGACAGACGGCAGCACTGAAACAGAAGTAATTCAACAATTAATGCTTTACAGACGTATTCTACAGCACACCTCCCTGGAAGAAAACAATAATCGACTGTCCTTAAAAGACTGGTTTTCAAATATAAACATATTTAAAAGTGGTCCATTTAACAGTGTAAAGGTCAACACGATTTAAATACGTTATTTCACAAGTGTTTAAGCACAAACAGCAACACATTCAGACACTAGTAAATGATCATTTGTACACATTTATAAAATACTTGTGAGATGGATATTTTTTCTTTGCTTTTGATTTCATGTTAATACTACCATGAACCATTTGCTTCATTCTTCAAGACAAAGCCATTTTCCCAACAGCCGGCAATTCTGTCTCCTCAACCTGATGAGTCACCCACAAAGACAATTGAGAGTCCCGTGGTTCAATTCAGGGAAAAGATTGATGAATTGTCTTCACATTCTACTGACAAGCAAGTGAGCTGTGAGTTTCTGGGACCTTTCATTAACTTTTTGTAATAATTAGATTAAATGACACAAATAATGAGGTTAACATTCCCCAGCATTGAAGCATGTCATGTTTTCTCCACAAATGAATCAGAAAAAAAAACTATTTGTATTACACAAATAGAAACAGACAATATTAAATATTTTATGGTACATACTAATGCAGCTAGAGAGGCATCTATGTACTTGTAAAGGTGTTGCTATACAATTCTTCTGTGACTTTATTGATACCAGTGCATCAATGAAAAAATGGTTTTATATATTTAATTATCGGTTTCATCAGAACTTGTGTTGTTCCAAGTACCTTGTGTTTTTCTGACTCAATGTGTGCGTATTCCACAACATTTTAATAAGACATTCTTACATGCAGATCCACCTCGGCAGGTTGTGTTCTCGTCACTGAAGTCGCCACAGTCGTTGTCACCGTCACAAGCCCAGTGGTCAGGGATACAACGTCCACTGGTGCACTGAAACTGATTTTTAGAACAGGTCTGGATGCAGCCCAATTCGTCACTGCCATCGCCACAGTCGTTATCTATAAACATAGATTAAAATATTTTTATGCAAAAGTTTGATCATTCAACTGTGCTTTAACTGATGTCAATTGGCAATTTTGTTTTGATGCGTAAACTCTCTCAGGAGTTAAAAGCTCTCACCGGAATCACATTGCCACTTGACACTGATGCACCGTCCATTTGAGCAGCTGAATTCGGTAACGGGCCTGCAGGTGGGAAAAGCTAAAAAACAAACGTAAACAAATTCAAGTTTAATCCAAATATTGTTAAATTATAAGCTATGAAGTAACTATTCTATGGCAGACATTTTTAGCTAGATATTTTGGCAGAAAGTATTTTGTTTTGATATTAAAATCATGCAAAACATACACTATTCTCATACTAATAATAATGTTTTCTTAATGAGGGACACAAATGATAGTTTTATATTACTCTGTGGACAGTAATGTAACTTGAGTCATAACAAAGGATCCATCCATCCGTTATCTTTAACCCGCTTCTTACTTCCGGGTCGCGGTGGTCAATGGTACCCACATCCAGCAGTCACTGTGCGAGAGGCAGAGTACACCCTGGACAGGTCTCCAGCCCATCACAGGGACACAGAGACAAACGAGACAAACAACCATTCACTCTCTCACTCACATCTAGGGATAATTTAGAGTTGCCAATCAACCCAACATGTATGTTTTTGAACTGTGGGAGGAAATTGGAGTACCCGGAGACAACCCATGCATGCATGTAGAGAACATGCAAACTCCACCCAGAAAGGTCCTCGGCCGGGATTCGATCCGGCATCTTTCTTGGTGAGAGACAACATCTATAAAAACTGAGCCGCCATGCCGCCCCATAGCAAATTATTAAGTCACATTAAAATGTCATCTTCAACACTTTTAGTTATTTTTAATAAAGCCTAAGCAACTAAAACAAATGATAGAGATTTGTAACAGCCACACCAATATGTTAGAAAGGTCATATTTAGGTTAGGAAGAAAAAAAAAAGTTATTAATTTCTGAGCACCGAGGGCATTTGTAAAAAAAAAAAAAAACATGAAAATAATTACATATAACAAATATATGAATAATAAAAATGCAATTTATTTAACATTGTTTTGTTATGCTGAAAGTAGCTGCAAAATGTGGCTCAGTTCTTGAGTCTAAATTGCACCAATAATTGTGATCAGGACATACTTGCCATATTTTTTGTAATTGGTGGCCCTGGTTTTAGGTGAAGAATATTGTGAAATTCCTCCTCTAATTAATGTTTTGTACTCAGGGGAGACTTGAGATACTGTAGTTTATTCACCACACGTTCAACTTCACATTTCATCTCTCGTTCAATGCCTCCAATCACAAAACTAGATTTAAAACACACTTGACCATGAAACATAAAATCAAACTTTACTCAAACAACATCTACCAATCATGGCTTATCGTTTCATTTCAAACATAGAGCATCAAGTCTATGAATAAAAGTGTTTTCAACCCCTTTTTTCAATGTTCTGTATCTTTTTTTAGTTTGTTTTAGATTCATCTGCTATATCAGTGTGTGAATGTATGTGTGTTTGTTAGCATTGTTAGCAAAATATGTCATCAAGCAAAGGGGACTACAGACTTATGTCTATCCCATACTGTATGCACTTATGCATTAAGTAATGTCTGGTTTAAGGAGGAATTGTGGGTCCTTTTGTCCCAAGGGCAGCAGGAATGATAAAAATGTCATGCATCAATTGTTGATGTTACCTTTGCATGTTTATTAGGGGCCAAGATGGGGTAGAGGCAAGGCAGCCGACTTGGGACCAGAAAGTCGTGGTTCGACTCCCAGCCATTCCCACATGTCGTGGTGTCTCTAGGCAAGATACCCAATCCCCATTTGCTCCCTGTGTGCTTATATAGCTGCCCACTGCTCCAGCTGGGTGTATCTCACATGTGATGGGTTAAATGCAGGTAACTATTTTTGCCATTGTATGAGAACATATAATGATGACAATCTCAAACTTCCCTTCTCTTATTTATAAAATATATCATAAACCACTAGATGGATGTTAAATAAACTTTCAGAAACCATTCACTAGTTGTATATATACAACTGATTAAGTTTTATTGTCACCCAAAATCAAAACAGAGCCATTGGCATCAGCCAAGACATAGACTCCATTACCTCAGTCAGCTTTAGACATATTGAGCTAAAATTTGATGATGGTAGCTGAATGTCATCTCCAACACATTATTTGAGCTGTACACAATGTGAACTATTTTCTTAAAATTTTGGTAATAATTCCAACAATGTTTAGTCAGGTCATTTGGATGGTTTCATTTTTGTGCTGAGACGTTTCGCCCTCCATCCGAAGGGCTTCATCAGATGACCTGACTTACCATTGTTGGATTCTATACCTGGATTGTTGAGCATGGACTTTGGTGTTTGGCAATGATTGTTTGCGTCAGCCCTGTTTAGTTGTTAGCAAAATATAATTTGAAACATTAATGAAACTATGATGTACACGTACCACCAAGTCAATTTCACAGCTAGAAGTAAATATGTGGTAGTAGCTGATGAGTTGTGCCCATTATATCCTTTGAGCACTATCACATCTTGCAAGATCTCACAATATTGCTCGTTGCCTTTTGACATTTATAACTTTGTTCTCTCATCATCAGATAACTTTAGTTTAAAACTCTTATAAAAGACCATGAGTGACGTGTCCCTGCAAGGATTCAGTGCTATGTTTTTTTCTTACCCAATTATTTTTTATTTCTTTAATATAATCTGTCATAGCTCAACTCTGCTGTCATCCATTATCTAATTCAGAAAATCTTGTGAACTGTTATGGCCTATTTAAAAGCTTCAGTATTTGTTTCCTGTGTTGTAGTAGTTATAGAAGAAAAAAAAAAATTACTTTTTATTTTTCATTCATATTGGGGGGGTGGGGGGGTGGATGAAGTGGAAGGGATGGGGTTCAGGTGCTGATGACATTGACAAGACTGACATTTATATTCCCATCACATACCAGCCTAGTTTTGGTATAGAATATACCGAATGCCTGAAGCTTTATTGACTTCTGTATGAAATGTGAGTCTTCATTTGAACTGATTTGTTGCTGCAGCTGTATGGAATACCTTTGGTACTGTCGAGGAGTTATTTTAAATCATTATCATATAAGTGTCATTTACAGCAGGCTGTATTTCCCTCAAAGGTCGTAGGTCTCGCTGACAGCACACGGCTGCCTGGAATTTAACATTTGTTAAGAATGAAGCGTGAGCATGCATAAATAATGAGGGTTTCGAGTAAACAGTGTGCAGAGCTAAAAATGAAACACCGGCATCTATAAATAATGATGGCATCAAGAGAAAAGACAGTCCAACAGAAGACAATGTGTGACAAGTACTAAACTACTGACAAACAAAATCCAAATTAACATCAATCTCTACGGCAGCCACCACAGAGCTTCAGGTGTTCCAAAACCCACAGAAGCTCCACTGAAGCTAAGTGAGCTGCCAGAGCTTCACAGAAGCGTGCCTGCGGAGAAGTAATGCCTGAGGAAGCTCAGACAACAGTATAGGAGAGAATATGTTTTGCTGTGCAGCTTGATTATGATTGAATGAAGCCGAGCATGAACTTTAATTACTGCTTACACCCTGGCTGTTTGTGACTGCGTACTCAAGCAGCTTAGGACACACAAAGGGAGGCTGACGAGATACAGCACTTGGCAAACATCAATCACCGTTAAAGGCTGATTTAATACAAATAGTGATTAAAGGGAATCTTAAAACCGTCTCCTTCATCATTTAAATGTAGGCTGCTAAATTCAAATAGTTCAACCTCACTGCTGAACACATCTTTCACAGCCCCACTCTCTCTCACATAATAAATGGTTAAATACATTTTGAAAATAACTCCACAAACCTCAGGTCATAGCGGCTTATGCTCCCCCCCCCCCCCCCCCCTTTATGTTCATATATATATATATATATATATATATATATATATATTTTATATATATATATCAAAATCACTGCCCCTTTTACCTCACTAACCTTAGCCAAGATATTTTCACTAGAGATGAATTACTTAGGGATAGTTCACTATTGTGAGAACATGTTCTCTTTACACAGCTCACGTTCAGACTGCCCCTACTGTACCTCCTAGTGTTTTTTGTTTGTTTGTTTTTTCATTCAACCTTTATTTAGACAGGTTAATCCCATTGAGCCTTGAGGACTCATTTACAAGCGAGACCTGAGTTTGACCTGGGTTTAAAGGTATGTTGTTAGCATCATTAGCGTTGTTAGCATTGTTAGCGTTGATGATAGGCTCACGTGATTCAGAGTAAAGGGTAAGGGGGTTAAGTTTAGGAACAGGGTCACATAAAGCTGACAAAAAAAAAAAAAAACAACAACAACACTTCCTGTTTTACCTGCGTGCGACACTGCATATTATCAGTGATACAAACATAACTTTAAAACTGCTAGGAGGTAGGAGGGACAATAATGTCCATTTAATGGGCTGATAACATCTGAAGCCACTTATAAAATCAAAGTATTCAGTAACAGATAATCAGCTTTAAGTAACATTTTATTTCAATACATTTCAAAAGCACATCTGGGCATTAATGAACTCTGAGGCCCCGATATGTTAGGCCAGATCTGCAGGTGAAATTCAAAATTGCACCCACAAGCACAGGCTTTACCAGCTCATTTAATTAATAACCAAATTAGTCTACCAGGACTGTCATGATTTAGCACAAAGTTATAAACAAACAGACCTTATGCTAATCAATAGCCTGTAATCTTCCAGAGACAATGACAGTTTGCTTTTTGTGGCTACTAAACATATAAACATAAAATAATGTATGCATCACAAGTTTATTAGTTTTACTCTTTAGCTCCAATAAGAAAAATAAAATAAAACTCATTCACATAAATTTCACTAATACTCCTTTTTGACTAAATTTCAGGTGAATTGGACTAGAGTTTGAGTAACTGTAAGACTTTTTTTTTTTGGTCCCAAAAAGTCAACAGAAACTGGCAGGAGTGATTTCAATGGAGAAATGGAACAGGTCACATTTTGCTCAAAATTCATTCAGGAACTGAATGTTTAACGGTTTACTGTTCTAAATTGAGTCCACATGATGCAACACCATAGTCCTAAACCCTATTTCTGTAAAAGCACTTATTAAAAGTGAGTTACTGTACCTGCATCTCCGTGTATTGTGCACTGCAATGAGTTCAACGCACCGCATGCTTTAATTTACTAAGGGTCTACAGTAAAACTGAGGCTGGTGTGAATGCTGTTAGGTTGGCACTATAAATAAAGATGAGCCATCACAAAATAAGCATAAATCATCCTCTAGTTGGAATCAACATCTCTACCAGCTTTCATGGTAATCCATTTTGGAGCTGGCAAAGTGCCAAGCTCAGGGAAGCATCATGATAAATGTCTGTCCAAAAATAAATGTACCCAAATGCAATTTCACCGTATAGCTAATTCATCCAGAGATTATGAGGGCATTTAAACAGAATTATCATTTGCCTATTCTGTTTAACAATACTGTTAGTTGTTAATTATTGCATTTCTTGAAAAGAAGAAGAAGAAAATAATTAACATATGTGCTTGTTTTGTTTGTTTGTTTTTTTAATTTTGCTTTATTTTGCAAAAGTCTCTGACCATCTCTCATTTCTTCATACTTTGTTGGCAATTCAATATTCTCCGAAAACTTGTTCTTTAGGCCAAAGATTCTTCAAAGCATTTTTTCATAATATCAGCTAAAATACAAAATGTAATGAATTTCTTTTGTCCTCTATTTATTCACTATTCTTATTCTAGGCACAATATGTACTGAAATAGTCATGTGCAAGGTCTGATCATAAATGAACAGAAAAAGCAATCAAATGTCAATTATTAATTTTTAGAATACCTTGAAAAAGCCTGGACAACTATCAGTCAAGCACATTTTAGAAGTTTACATAAAAGGATAGCTCTTTAAAGACAAAATGGAAAGAAATAAAAGTAGCTTTTCTTTAAGAAATACATGTCACTCATCGCCTTGCATACCACAGTTTAAACAAAGATTTTGTGTGACCCTTTTATGACTCGGAATGGGTTTTGGGGATGACTAAGATTTTTTCACACCAACATTTAGCTAATTATTAATAAATCTGAATCAGTTATAATACTTATAAGTTCAATTATTTATGGCATTTATCTCGACATGGGTTGACACAAAAAGTTAATCAGTTGCAGATGTTCACAGCATGATTACTTTCTGAGAATTTTAAAACTCATTCAGAGGTTTATGAGTTAATTTGATAAAATACATATAAATAAACACACACATCTTAACACATACACACACTCGCATACAGACACAAAAAAATGCCCATTTCTTATGACAGTGGGCATTAATTAGAGGTGTTTTAAAACTGTAGTACAATACAGTAGACCTCATGATGAAAAATAAATAAATAAATAAAAATAAATAAATAAATTAAAAAAAAATATATATATATATATATATATATAATATATTTGTATTGTCTCACTGCTGTCATTGTCATTTTTATTGTGTGTGCTTAAAGTTAAGTGAAAAAATAATAGCCTCATATCAAATTACTCAGTGGAGTGCTCCCCAACATACATTTCCTCTTTCAATTAAAGATCACATATAGTGTTAAATCTTTGAGCAGAAACTGTAAAAAATATGGACAAGTTTCTGGCCCAGCCATGAATTATGCAGTCACATTCTGAGTGTTTCAAGTGCAGAATGTAAAACGAGTTTTGACACCTCACCCACTGATGACACAGCCATTCAGTCAGTGAAGTGAATATATGGCTTTGTTGTATGGACAACAGGTTTCTTACTGTGGCTGTAAATATAACTACACAGGGCACGACATTTTAAATTGTGACCAGTTTACCATTACACTTAAGCTACAAATAGTTGTGTTTATGTCCACACCATGACATTTCAATGTCAATTCCTAAATAGTCTTGAAACTTACTGCATGATATTTCATCAGACTTGTCCCCACAGTCGTCCTCCCGATCGCAGCTCCAGCCTCGAGGTATGCAACGTCCATTCTGGCAGGAGAACTGGTCGTCTTGACAGGGCCGGGCTGAGAAACAAGACAAGTGGCCACCTAATTCAATCACAGCTGCATAAGTCAATGCAAGACTGCACAACAACATCGAATGCTCTGCAGATCACCAAAAATGTCAATGTCTGGCCTGTGCAAACTCTTTATCACTCAATCACATACAGCACAGTGGGTATAATGGCCGTGGGAAATGTGCTGTTGCTTGATGAGCCGTCAGTCACATGCCGGTGGTCATGCGCATGACAGCGCACGAGTAATGTCCTGCTGATGTTGGATATGCATGTCAATCTTCCAGTGAGCAAACATTCATCATTCACTGGCTAATGCACATTGATTGATCCTATACAGATAAAAAGCTCCTGAGAGGAACCACTGAGGACACGAGGGCAGTGTGATCCACTTTGGGTGTCCCCGACAGACCAGGTGAGACCAATTTATATATAAAAAAAAATACATCAAAAATATTTTCACATTTTTGTAAGATAAGACTGATTAATTTCCACAATCTACGGTATATTGCCCAAAGAGCTTAGATCAATTAAAAAGCTCACGTTAAAGGTAAGAGAGCATTATGCACCTTAATCAGCTAGTGAGCAAAGATAAACAATATACTGTATATTATACAAGGATAAGAGAAGTATCAAGGAGCTAGTAAAACTACAAATAGTAGTATGATTAAGTTCATACCTGAGCAAGTAATGTTGGACTCATCCTCATTGTTCCCACAGTCATTTGTTCCATCACAGAGCCATCTTTTGGGAATGCAGCGATTGCTGCTACATTTGAACTGATCAGTGGGACATGTGTGATTGTCTGAAAAAGTTCAAACAGCAGAGTCAGACAGTGGTGACCTCACAAGAGTACACATAAATCAAGAGGACTAAATATAGTGATGAGTAAAATAATAATAATATAAAAAAAAAGATTAAAAAAAATTATTTTGATTATCCTTGTAAATGTATTGTTGCTCTGATATTTATTTATTTATTTATTTGTTTCAATATTCAACTACATGTCAAAAAATCAGAGCAAAGTACTCTAATTGACATTATGCAGTTGGTCGTAATTAGACGTTACAAATATAAGAAATCGTTTTAAGGAAATTCTGGGGAAAAATTATAAAGCACACAGACACCCCCCACACACACACGGGGGGGGGGGGGTAGCTGTGGCTGAGTGGTTGGAGCGGTCGTCGATTTGTTCAATTAACTTTGTAGAGATATACTAGATATCATACTTTTTTAATTGTATTTACCCTTTATTTATACAGGTAATCTCATTGAGCCACGAGAACTCATTTTCAAGAGAGACCTGTTTAGGGAGCATATGGGGGTTGAGGGCCTTGCTCAGGGGTCCAGTGTGGGTCGAATGAGGGTGGGGGCAGGTGCGAGTGCTTCACCTACCCCACCCACATTTTTGATGTTGTCGGTACCGGGGCTTGAACCGGCGATCTTCTGATCACAGACCCACATTCTCTAACCTCTGTGCCACCACTCCCCCTTGCTGCATGAATGTGTATGGATCGTAAATGAGGGCACAGATTGTGTTGTAAAGCACTTTGGGCATAGTGATTAGACAGAAAGGTGCTATATAAGTACATCCATCCATCCATTATCTTTTACCCGCTTCTTCCTTTTCAGGTCACGGGGGTTTCTGGTGCCTATATCCATCAGTCACTGTGCGAGAGGCTGGGGACACCCTGGACATGTTGCAAGTCCATCATAGGGACACATAGAGACAAATGAGACAAACAACCATTCACTCTCACTCACACCTAGGGACACTTAGAGTTACCAATCAGCCTAACGTATGTTTTTGATCCGTGGGAGGAAACTGGAGTTCCTTGAGAAAACCCATGAATGCACAGAGAGAACATGCAAACTCCACACAGAAAGGCCACCCTGCCAGAATTCAATCTGATGACCTTCTTGCTGAGAGGTGGCCGCTCTACCAACTGTGCCACCATATATAAATGGCACATATATAAACGGCACGGTATATAGTTGCGTGTGTAAGCAAATCACTTGCTGTTTATGTGTGTGTGTTAGTAAAACCAAAAGCCAAACCTCTTAGTATTTAAGCCTTGAAATGAGGTCTAATTAGATAATGAGCACTCAGTGTCATTATTCTTTTTGCCGTTTCTTAGTTGCACTAAATTAATTTGCAATCTTTTGTGCATCCTTCACACAGCAAGTGGCATCTTAATTTCTAAAAATGGGATTTTTCGTGTTCGGCTGAGAAACATCAAGATCTTGGTGTCAGACAGTGTAAGAGTGTGCTGTGACCAGAGTTTTGAACAAATTAGTTTTGTAATTGTCTGGTTTCCTGTCACAAACATTGTTTCCATCCTATCAGATTTAATTGTAGTTAACTAGCTGTAAGGAGACAGTTTGCTTGTTTTAGAAAGATGGAACACAATTTCTAAACTATTTAACACATTGAATTGTTACTTAATTTACTCTTACAAGCTATCTAGATGTTCAAATACCCACTCAGATAAGCATAAAACGATTACTGTGCATTGTTTTCCTGCAGTGTGGATAACTACTTTGTATTTGTATATGTATACTGTTTCCAATACCCATTATTTCTTGAAGATGATTATGTTGTTGCTTCTCATTTATGCAAAAACATCCAACAATCCAGCTTGTCCAAGTAATTTGTCTTAGAGAGAATCCACTTTTTCAAAAAACACAAAAATTAAACAGCAGCACATTCAGCATATCTACTCTAATGACATTTAGGAACACAGATAATGACAGCACAAGAGAACTACATGTAAAAGCTTGGAGTTTTCTTGCTTGGGGCACGGAGGATGCCTACAAGAGTACTGACTCGTTCAGTGTTCACATGGCTGTGTTATGCAGTACATTGCCTGCAGACTAATCAAGATCCTCACAGCAGCTGTGGCTCTCCTCATCACTTCCATCCAGACAATCATCATCGCCGTCACACTTCCACAAGGCCCGTATGCAGCGATGATTGTGACACTGGAACTCATCACTTTTACAACGTGGTGGCTCCAAACCTGTGCTGGAAGCTTCTGAAGAAAAAAGAAGAAGGAAAAAAAAAAAAAGTCTCAAATGTTCCCTTTATCAAGGGAGTCTTTATGAGGTATGACTTTTGGGGAAATTATTGACATAGCTATAATAGCAGTCAAATCATGTTAATTATGTCCCATAACCTCACAACGTGTGAAACAACTGGGATTTGGTTCATATAACTGGAGGTCTGCTGGGATAATTTTCCACCATTATCTATTTATTAGCAAATTTACATATGGAAAAAAAAAAAAAATCTTGAACTTTATCCCAAAGGATAAAGCCAGCATGAGAGTAGCAGAGGATGATCTTGGCCCTCCTGTTCAGTCTGATTCATTATGTCCTCCTACCTGCACAGGTGACATTGTTCTTCTCTAGAACTTGGTTGTCAGCGCAGGCACACACTCTGCCTCCTGGGATGGCAAGGCAAAGGGTACCACAGCCTCCATAATTCAAGCTGCACGCATTTTCACCTGAGAAAATAGATTGCAAATCTAGTAAGGTGTTGTCTTTAGTTTTATCATTTCCAAGTCCAGTTTAAGCACATTAGGACTGTGTTGCTTTGTCCATTTAATGACCTTTAGCCTCTTTAATCCACTCAAAATAAATCCCTTTTTTGAGACAAAGTTCATTTGCTGCCTTACTTTGACCTGCCATGAATGTGCCCTACACCAAATGAAATATGAGGAATGCCACTGGTAAAATGCATTTGACATTTTTATCTTTCTGTGAGGGATAATTTGTCTTTTTTTAGACAGAACTGTCAGTTTTTAATAGAAAAAAAGGGACATATAAAGTTTAGTCATGTGGCACTTTGTCACATTCATTTAATACATAACCTAAAAGCAGTGCCTGAGCCAATGAGATAAAGCTTTGTGTTTTGTTAGAGCCAATCAGTAATACTAACAGAACCCAACAACCAATTAATCTATTCAATGACAAACAAAAGGGAAATGTCCAGCAACCACACTTGCATAGCTTAAATCAGGATGCTGGAACCAAGCGTTGACTTTATGTGCCTAATGTGCCTAAATAAACTATAAAAACTTTAATGATCTTAGATGAAATGTTGACTAAATATTTTGTGGTTGCAACAAGAGCGTACACCCGTGACACGTTTTTGCAAAAATGTCTCTCTCTCCTCCCCCTGCATTCAGCATGGTATGTTTTTAAATATATATATATATATATATATATATATTCTTTTTATGAAATAATTTAGAAGTACCTCCTATCATGGAGAGTGAAGCTGTTTGGTGACAGCAATATCCGTTTTGTTGTCTATCTGTTCTTTTCAGCATTATAACAGCATGAATCGATCATCACTTATTGCAGAAGGATAATAAACTGGTTTCTATTCTCACAGCACAAGATACTCCTGTTGCATCAAAGCAGGGACTGTGATGCGCCTGCGATTCTACTCATTTAGGACAGAAGCAAACTTATCAAGAAATCAGAGACAAAACAGTGTATTCATTCATTCCAGACTTATTGTCACTGTTTTCTAACATGGCTGAGGAAGATAACTGACTATTTGTTTTTATTAGTTATTTAAAATCATTCTTTGTTTAACTCCACAGTTCACTGATTATATATCAAGTTTTGTATTTTTTTTTCTCTTCATATCCGTTACATCTATGGCTTCCAGATATTTATTTGTTTAAGACTTTAAGCTATGTTGTTTAATTATGAATGCTGTTTTTTTTTTTTTTTTTTTTTTTTTTTTTTTTACAGAGTTGTAGGTGCTCCCTCAACACACAAATACAGGTCCTTATGAAAACCTCCTAGGCACAAAAGCGGTGTTTTATGTACTTCATCCTCATGCAGACTTTTATTACTCAATGTAATAATAAATGTTTGTGTTTTGTTACTTGTGCAAATTAAATTTGACAATGTTTATGCAATGTAAATTTTGCACACTGCCTGAATCTTGAACATTACCTGCTTGTAGGCAGGGGGGGGGGGGGGGGGTTAAGTTTGAGGATTTGGGTTATCTACTTTCTTTTTATGGCTCTGACTTAAAGACAGAATAAGTCACGCTTTATTTCACCAAAACGTCTGCACACTAATAGAGTTTTTAATAAAATGCCCATCATAATGCATAGCCTCAGATGAGATCTAAACATGTTTGTTTTTTTTATACTGAAAATAAAGCTGTGATTAAAACACCACCACCAACAAAAAAACAATAAACAAGTGAAAACAAATAAGTAAATTAATAATTCATACACAAATAGCAAATACAAAAATAAACAAAGAAATACATACATGCATATATACATATTTAAATGAATAAATAAATACATAAATAAATAAATACACACAAACATAAATAAATACAGATCTAGACATTATGATATAGTTAATACAAGACATTATAATATCTAAGCATTTCTATTTTATATTACTAATAGTGACTCTTAAATTGCATGACAAACAATACTGTCACAGCTGTGATAGTTGTCTCTGAAATGCCTGAAAATTAATAAAATCTAAAATATTTATATTTTGTTTTAAAATAATTTTGATGTCAAACACATTTTTTTTCAACATAAAGCACAAATAAATAAATTTCCCTGATTGTTGCAATCATTGTAAAGGGGAGTATACATGCATATACTGAATTTGATGCAAAGTGGTCATAATGCACTTTAACTCTGCATATCTTAAGTAAAATGGAAGGTGCTCAGTGCATTATAGACTGACTGCAAGGTTTCCTGACTGAATAAAACTAAGAGTAAGACGGAGCTCTGTACATCTTGATCAACTGATGTACTTGGTCCATACAGTGTGAAACTCAAACCACTAAGTGATCTGAAAGTCACTGTCACTGCTTGTTAATGTACCCCATGAAATGGAAGACAAACTGGCTCTTCACTAACTGCAATGCAAGTAGGAGGCATGCTTCTAGACACTCAGCACAGAGAGGTCCTATTTCCAGTGCAAAACACCCACTTTCTCTGTTAAAGAACTGATTCACGATTCAGCAGCGCTGGAAAACCACTAAATGAAGGGAAAGCAGCCAACCTTGCTGACTCTGTGCATCGTAGACACGCAAGCCAAACAGAGGTGGTCTCTCGCTCCGCAGCAGAGTGACATCGCCTGTGGACAAGTCCAGCTGGAAAACGGAAGCGTTCATGTATTCCGTCCAAAAGATAAAATTACGATAATGAGAGATTCCAAAAGGATGGTTCAGCTCTTTTCCCTTGTACACCACCTACAACATTAAACAACATGCAATACAATCAAAGGATTAGGAGAAATGCAGATGGGACACCAGCAGCAACAGAAATACTCAATCATCTCAAAGAAGACTGTAACTGTTTGAATATGGGCTTAGATAGTATTCAGGGCATGATGAATGCCATTTAATTTCTTTGTGCAAATGTATCTAGGCATAACTGTCTGCTTGTAATAATGTTTGATAGAATCTTGGCAATGACTGAGAGATCACTTACAAATAATTCATTACCATTAATGTGCCAGTTTAACTGAAGTCAGCAGGAGCAGTAAAAGAAGGAGTATTCTGTTGGCAATTGTTAAGAAGGATGCACTATTTTTTTATCTCTGCTTTAAAGAATAACATTATAACTAATAAAGTTTTGAAAGCAAGATTGGACTCAAATACCATTTTAAATCATTGCTTGCGTGTATGAGATTGAGGTTTTTATTAACCCAGTTATTAACTAAGCACAACCATCAATCGTCTATTTGACCAATAAAGAGAAAACAGTATACATTATAACATTGAACATAAAAACATAATAAATGTACCATTCTTCCTGTTCCATTCAGATTAATTTTCTCAATGTGATCATAGTAGGCATCACACCAGTACATAGTACTGGTACTATGGTCCAGTGTCAGACCGTTGGGCCACAGCATGTTGGAGGTGACAAAAATACGTCGATTGGATCCATCCATCCAGGCCTTTTCTATCCGCCCTATGCTGTCATTGACTTCATCTTCTTCCCAGTCTGTCCAGTACATCCAGCTGTCATACAGAGAGATGGACACAGACAGAAGAGTGGTTATTACTCTAATATAGAAACATGAGTCATCACCTTTAATTTAGCTGCATCATGTCATGCAGGAGTGCAGCAGCATCATCAGCTTTCACTCTGAACATTGATCACTTCATATATTCTAAGTCCGACGGGTATTTTTGCTTCTCATTTATCTCTGACATGCTGATAGAAAATTGTGCTTGCTGTTGCCTCCACCTGCCTCCCATCTGCTTTTATTTCTTATCAATCAATACAGATGTGACAACATTCTTTTTTGCAAGCTTCTCTCATAAAAATCTGTTTTATGTCAGTATGAAATGTGTCTTCAGATTTTGTTTTGTGTGCCTGTGGACAAAATATAAGGATTTTATTGTGCTACGTTTTAACAAAATGTCTTCATAAAGGACATACTGTATCTTGTAGTTAAAGACACATTGTTTAAAAAAAAAAAAGATGTACAGCGCTGTTTAAAACATATTGTACTATATTTCATAAAATTAACATTTTCCACTATTTGTTTGCATATAAAAAGTCCTTAATGTTAGGCACAAACATATATATATATATATATATAACATCCATGCTCACTCACTCATTGACACCATGCATGCAAACATAAATAAATAAATGAATAAATAATTATATACGTAAATAAATAAATGTAAATAAAATAAATAATATACGTAGCACTCATTTTCTTGAATGCCCAGCCCATTGTAAATAAAAAAAAAAAAAATAAAAAAAAAAAAATGCGATTTCAGACCATCAACATGTATTATGTAATACTTTTACTGATAAAAAGGCAGCATGAGCTATGTCAAATGTTGCGGTTTTAAATACTTTACAAAAATATTCCAGTAGTTTCCAGATATATTTATTGTTAATTTAGTAACGTATGTTAATGTAACAGGAACACTTCTTGTGCAATGACAATAAAAATCATTCTGATTCAGATTCTAATACACACAGCACATTGTTCAATGTAATTTAGATAATCAAAAATAAAAATAAAAAGAGTAAAAGATTGTTTAAAACTTACACTGTAATATTCAACCTTTTGTGTCATAATAGTTTTTGACTAAGTGGCTTTTAATGTTGTGTATATTAAAAAAAAATATATATATATATATTTTATAAATAAGCATGTTAATGTTCAATGAATATGTTGAAACTACATCTCTGAATTAGCCAGAGGTATATGAAACATGACCAGATGAATAAGTTGATGAGATCTTCTCTGTAGTAGCCATTCCCAGGAGATTTGCTTTATTTAAGTGTTGCCGACTGAGCCGCAAGCCCCCTGTTTCTCATCGTGGTAGAGGGCTGGCTCAGGAAAGATGAAACAGAGAAGGACAGGGAGGTGAATGAAGAGTCTCTGTCTCTAAGTCGTCAGCATGACCTAATGAATTATTAATACCCACACTTTTCACACACACACACACAATAACTAATGCCTACGCACTGACATAAACCACACCAGAAGAACAAAATGCATTTAATTTGTAATTTTACTTTCACTGATCTGAATAGAGACTAAATTTAACACCTGAAAATAATCCATGTATATATATATATATATATATATATATATATATATATCAATAAAGCTTAATATATGCAAGCTCAAATATGAATCGTTGAAGCAATAATGTTGCCGATTTAAAAGCAAACAACAGAAAGAAGAGGAACAATGTAATCAGCTTTAAACTGTTTGTGTTTGTTTTTTTTTTTGTTTGTCCATTTGTTTTGCTTTTAATAAAGTTGCAATATACTTTGTGATTTTTTTTTCTTAATAAATGTAATATACCAGTGTGTATGTGTATACAGTATATACATATACACATATACACATATACATATATATATATATATATATATATATATATATTCATAGTATTCCAACTTTGCAGTTTTTCACTTATCACAGGGCTTCAGGATACAAATCACCCATGATGAACGATGGACTACTGTATATATCCTACTGTATGTCTTGGTGGCTTTTATTTCCTTTTATAAATTACCACTACAAAGCAGAGAGAGAAAAGCCTAAAGCAAAGTAGCGCGTTAACACTCATATAACAAAACCAGTCAAAATTAAAGAGATACTTAGACATGTGCTTCAGATATATGTTTTTTCACCAATTTTCTATAATTCAGTAGGTATTCACAAACCATTGATTTCTTTGTTCGCATGTTGTGCATATCTAAGCGCAAGGAAAATAGCAAGGGATTTGAGTCAACGACTCCTTCAAATGAACGCTTATGATGAACACTTATCAAACACGAATGAGGCAATTCAAATATAACAAAAAAGGAGAATAAAAGGAACTTTGTCAATCTAAAGCCAGCATAGTACACTGTCTGGTAATCATCATGAATAATGATGAAAAGCACAACCATGCAAAGCACTGCATCTTGGGTATTTGTGGATGCATTTGTCTGTTGAATTTGAAAGATGTGATGCTGTTAAAATCACAACATATTAGGTACAATTGCACATAGGTACAAAGTTCACCATGAAAATACAACTAAATATTAAATAAATATGTAAATATGAATGAATAATTATTCTTGAAGAGA